AGCAATTTTAATTTCACCCCGTCTTGTGGTCCTGTGATCTTGCCCTGTCTCCATTTGCTTTGTGATATTTTATTACCTTGAAGTATGTGATCTCTGTGACCCACACCCTATTCATGCACTCCCTCCCTTTTGAAAATCGCTAATAAAAACTTGCTGGTTTTACATCACGGAACCTGCCAACATGTGATGTCTCCCCCAGACACCCAGCTTTAAAATTTCTCTCTCTTGTACTCTTTCCCTTTATTTCTCAGACCAACTGACGCTTAGGGAAATAGAAAAGAACCCACATTGAATATCGGGGGTGGGGTTCCCCTGATAATCAGTAAAATTAAATTATTCCTTCACTAATACTGGAAAATAAATGTCTTTATGATGTTCATCTTAGACTTAGAAAAACAACATCATAATATTGCTATCATTGTCTTTTTTTCTCATTGTATATAAATTTTTCTCATTATATATAAATATATCTGCACAAAATATTGTACATATTGTTTGATAAAACAGCCACATTTATAAAACATAAGGATAAAGAAAACATATGTAGTATGAAAAGAATAATTTATAAAATAATGTCAATTTTCAGTATCAGCTATTTTAAAAATATACAAACATGTTCAAAATTAAAATCAATCTTTCTTTTAATATATCTACTACCAAACTACCTGACTTTACAAAGATAGCTGATGTCATTTATAAACTCATAACTATTTGCATACGAATTTTCTTTTAATTACATCAGGTGCAGATCCATATACATCAGGCATTTAAAAAATTCATTATGTAAACTTAAATGCTGACTGGCTGAGCAAAAATGATGCAATTATGCAGTAACACTTGTTGATTTGCAGATTCCAGTGAAACTAATAAAAATATATTTCTGATAGAATAAACAGGTAAATGTCATGAAAATCACAAGATTAATATCAGTAAGATTCTTCTGAAACAAAAGAAGAATCAAATATTTCACTGTAAAATGTAAACAAAAGGAACACTAAATTAATGATACTATGGATGGGAGAGTATTCTTTCTATAATATTTCAGGGTAGCTTTTTTGCCCCGGTTAGAAGCTCGTAAGAAAGTACCAAATGAATACATAAAAATCTGTGGTTTGCATAACACATGTTCTCTTTTGTCCTGTAAAACTGAAAAATAACATTTGACAAAGCAAAATCAGATGTTGGAAAAAAAATGCATTTTAATACCACATATCACCACTGAATACATGAGGAAAATATGCTAAAGTCAGTTATTCTGTGGATATTTAGCAACGGCAGTGTTCTACCACTGATTAATGCTACCATTGGTGCTAATGATTTATATGAATTTTGATGCAGTTTCAATATTTCTTAGCTTACCAGGTAATAACTACATGACAAGAAACACAATCTAAAACCACACAGTCAAAATAATAGCAAGGCTTTAAAAAAAGGTTGTGGGTATTGGTAGCCTCAGTAACATCACACATTGACATTGAGGATAGGCATGTAAAAATACCACTTTGTTAAGCAAATTAGAAAGCCACCCCCAACCCTCGCCTGCCCCTTTTGATTGTAGCAGAGCTGTCCCTTCAACCCATAGGGCCTCATTTATCAAATTCATGGCATTGCTTACGTTGTACTCTTCAGGCTACTAGTCATTGGGTTTTCCCTCATTGAAAACATATTTTTATTTTGTTTTCTTGCTTTTATCTGCCCCAGACTGACCATCTTATACACGTGTGTGTGTGTATCCATATTTCTTTACATATATACGTGTGTGTGTGTGTGTGTGTGTACACACATACCTCTTTGTCCATAATTTACTTATAAATTACCTACTATGTGTCAGGCTCTGTGCATGGTCTTGGAGATGGAAATATGACCAAGGTGTATCTCTTCAAGTATCAAGCATAATTATAAAAGTGCCCACCTGTTTGGTTTGCTTAACACATGTGCCTTCAATATCACTTGCTGATGAACCTGCCAGCTCTTTTCACATGTGTGCCTCCTCTGTTTCAAATGATTCAACATAGTCTGGTTCTAAACTTCCAATCAGCAAAGTTCTGCGGCTTTATGATTAGGGAAATCATAGGCATATTATTTTAATTACTAACACATCATTAGGCTGACCGCAGGCAGTCATTCCATATACACCAATTGGTTGACTGCTTGATTGAACCAGTAGTCAGCATATATTTGGAAACATAACAATAGCAAAATAATGGCAGCTACCATTAACTGATATCTTATTAGATACCAGATGCCATGCCAAGCACTTTACATACATTCTCACACTTAATCCCAATAAAGGTATTATTACGCCCATTTAAATGATGATAAAACTGAGGCTTTGAGTTTTAAATAACTTGCCTAAAGCCACACAGAAAAGAATTCAAAGTTTTGCCCATAATCATTATAGCTATACTACCTCTCAAAAAGAAAGTCCCTATCTGAAGTTGGCTCAATACAACATAATTTTGATTCATAGCTAACTATAAATGGATCAACACAAACAGCTAAATTGACCTAAAGTACATAGCAGTCATGTATATGAAATATAAATATTAAAGATTAGAAAGCATATAAACTACATATATAAGAGTGTGTGTGTGTGTGTGTGTGTGTATCTTTAAGATTATATGCCATTTTAGACTATAGAGACCATGTTTTCTCTGCATTAGCACCCATTGTCAGGACTTGACTATATAGTTTTAACAACTGAAAGAGATTTTATTTTTAAAAATCCACTATGTGTTAGCCAACAATAAACCTGTATCTTATATCTGTCCTATCCTCAACATCCAGCACAATGCCTGCCACATAGCAGATGCTCAATACATAGCAATATTCAAATAAAATCATTAACTCTTCAAGCTCTGTTCTAAAGTGAATGCTCTACTTATATGAACGTGTGATAACACATGCACCTGAAATATAATAAATAGAATCTGTGAAGCAGCATTTATTCATTTTTTTATTTATTTTTTTAATTTTTTGAGATGGAGTCTTGCTCTCTCACCCAGGCTGGAATGCAGTGGCACAATCTCAGCTCAATGCAACCTCTGCCCCCCGGGTTCAAGTGATTTTCCTGCCTCAGCCACCTGAATAGCTGGGATTACAGGTGTTCACCACCACATCCAGCTAATTTTTGTATTTTTAGCAGAGACAGGGCTTCACCACGTTGGTCAGGCTGGTCTCGAACTCCTAACCTCAAGTGATCCACCCACCTCAGCCTCCCAAAGTGCTAGGATTAAAGGCATGGGCTACCATGCCCAGGTGACATTTTCAACATATCAAAATTTTCATCACTATTTCTTAAATGAAACTATGGAAATATAAAATACATTAATGCAATCTTCTGGCTAACTTCATAATTTCATACATTAGAATTTTATTATGAAAAAGGTGAAAAATTTAGCATTATCACCAGAGCAACTACAACCTGGCAATAGATACATTAAATACATGTGAACATTAGACACAATCAAAACAAAGCATGACATAGAACTAAATGACAGCTGTTTTCAAGACTGTAGGCCTAAATTTAGCAACATAAGCACATTTAATCATAAACTCCTAACTAACTTACATTTTATTTCCTTGACTTTACCAATTACTAGAGAATTTATATATATATTTAATTTTTTATATATATGTAATTTTTAATACTATCTCTATATATTAATATATATTAATTATATATAATATATATTAATAGTAGCAACATTTTATACACAACAAAAAGCAGAAATGTAAGCAAAGCACTAAGAAAGTTTCTTCCTAGAAGTTTATGAGTAGTTTTATGACAGCCCACCCAGTGCTAATTCCTTTCATCATAGATTTTAGTAACCCTGATCAAGCACATACGTGCATTCATTTGGCCCATGTATATACTGTCTTATCCTATTAACCATATTTTGATGGTAATTTTTTACATTTGACTTCTATTACCTTCAATTTCAAATCCTTTTAGGAAGTGGGTGAAAGAGAAAAATTTAAATATTCTATTATCTATTCTTAGTTGACTTTTTGCCACAAGAGAACCTCAAAAGCAGTGACTTTTAAAAATATTTACTATTCTATCCAACACATGATATATGAAGCCACTCAATAATTTTACACATCTACTCAAAGGAAAGCAGTGAGCCTGGTGGAGATGTACCAAAGTTACAACCTTCTTACTATAAGAATTAATAGTTACAGTGTCTAGCACATAAGTGAACATTTAACCATCAGGTAATTTGAACCTTAGTTTTGTCACAGATCAAAAGCGATCAATAAAACCTAATTGCTACAGACTGAATGTGTGTACCCCAAAATTCATAGTTGTCCTAATCTCCAATGTGATGATAATTGAGGGTGGGAGGTGACTTGGGAGGTGATTAGTTCATAAGGGTAGAACCCTTATGAATACGATTAATGCCCTTATAAAAGAGACCTCAGAGAGCTCTCTCTCCACTTCCATTGTGAAGACACAGCAAGAAGCAGCATCTGTGAACCAGAAAGGAGGCCCTCACCAGACACTGATTCTGCCAGCACCTTGATCTTGGACTTCCCAGCCTCCAGAACCATGAGAAATAAATATTTGTTGTTTTTATTCTATCCAGTCTACAGCATTCTGTTATAGCAGCTCAAACAGACTAAGACACTAAGCCAAAGAGTTGTAGCAATTAAATGACCGGTAGACACAGGTAAACCAGTTGGCATAAATATCTGACTTAGAGTAGATCCTCAGTAAACCATCCTTCCTTTTTTTTCTACTTCATTTCTAAATTTCTATTTTAAGGCACAGAAAAAATTTAAAATCAAATTTTTACACTTCAAATGTATTAGAAGCTGAATGGGTGGCTGAAAGAATAAAAATCACAGTATTCTAATAAACTGTCTTTTTGGGGGGGGCACCAACACAACTTTCCTGTGAAAGACTACAATTATCATTTATTAATATATAAAATATGTTCTAGAGGAAATTAAAATTGAAATTAGAATTTGAAATTAGAATTCACTCATATTTTTACCCTTTCTTCTAGTTGATCCTTCAAACATTGATATTTTAGCTTCAGTTTTTTGTTCTCATTTTCATTCTGGGTTAATTCCTCTGTCAGTCTGTCACACTGTGATTTCAATTTATCCAGCTGACCACGATGAACTTTAGCCATATTCTTCTCTTCTAAACTTTCAGCCTGAGAAAAAGAGAAGGAAAAAAGAGAAAGTCCACTAGCCATAGCCAAAATACACCAAACACATTACACATTTTATCAGTGGAAAAACACTGCAAGATTTTAGCTCGTTCAAAGCATTCATATATAAAAATTAAAATAAACATAAGGGAAATGTTCTTTTCATTTATTCAATCGCTGATCAGTATTCACCAAGCATTTATGAAGTGGTAGATACTGGACTAGATGCTAAAGATAACAGATATGAATAGTAAGAGAGTCAGATTAAATGATCTATTTGACAAGACTGAATGAGAAGTACTTATCAAAGGTGTAAGCTGGACATTTTGGAAATTCAAAGAAAAAATACCAGCTCTGCTCAGAGGGGAAGGAGTTATTAGAGAAGTATCCCAAAAAGGAAATACTATGAGATGTTACTAACTGATAAGTTCCCTTGTCTATAGACGGGGCTTAACATTCCTGTTTGACTTCACTCCTGGTTTCTATGAAATAATTGTGTACTTTTTATGTAAGTCATTATCAATACTACTCTTATGGGGCTAAAAAACATTATGAAGTATAACAACCAAGAAACTACAAACTTAATATGAAAAAGTTTACCAGTTATTTTTTCAACATCAGTAGTGTAGTAAAATATCTATTTATTGATCTTTATATAGGGTATAACCAGAATCAGCTTTTAAAAAATAAACTTTGGGAATAATCTATTCTATACAGGAAATTCAGTAAAGACTTGTCAGGTATGTGAACTTAAAGAATTTTGAAATAACAATAATGTAAACACTATGTGGCGGACACTGCTCTAAGACTTTTTGTATACAGGTTTTCCTCATTTCATCCTCGCAACAACCTGTGAGAATGAAATAAGGTATTATTATTGTACTGATTGCAATAATAATAAGAAAAAAAGCAAGTTAATCACTTTCCCAAAGATACACAGTGAGCAAATGCAGAGTCAGGATTTGAACCCAGGAATTCTTTCTAATGTCCATGCTTTCAACTATACCACACTGCCTCCCAAAAGGTACAATACCATTAGGTTTTTAAAAACCAACTGGGTGAAACTAGGAATACATGAAACACACCTACCAGTTGCTAACAGTCTGTAAGCAATCACATTTAATCTGTTTGAAATATATGTTTTAATGCCTAAAATATGTTTCTTTATTTTTATAAGTTTATTATATGAGTTTAATTAGGTATATAGGAACACAATCAATGGAAACAATCTCCTGAAAGAAGTTTTGTGAGTTTTAGACAAAATCTATATTTTATTTACCTCACAAAATTTACCTAAGAGTTGATGCCACATTAAATTAACAAAGAAATTGATTTTTTATGAGCAATCCTATATTCACAGCCCAAAATAAATTTACAAAATAAAACCTCTCATCAGGAAAATTGTTCAATTACGATTTTAAGTTTCAGTAGAATGCTTTTACTTTTTTTTATGTCCTAACAAAAGCATAGGTAAATACAAAGAATTCCCCCTAAGGTCTGTAGTGTGCTGCAGCCAGCTCATAGACACTGTCAAAAGCCAACTGGCTCTTCTCTTCCCAACTTCACCCCTCTCCAATGATATCTCATTTGATAGCTTTAAATCAGCCAAGAAAGTGGTATTCAGAACTACCAAACTTGGCGAATGCTATAAATCAAGAGTTTTCCACCCACCGGAAGCTTGTTTTCAAATATTTATCAGCACACCAATGCTGAAGCCTGACTAACAACTTACTTATTGTTGTGGTTTTTATTACATTTATATTTCATTTCAGAATTTACAAACTGATGTTTGTGCACAACAACCCAGTGATATAGAAGGACATTACTATTCCTATTTTAACAGTGAGGTATAAAAAAGTGAAATAACTTGACCAAGATCAAATGGTCAGCAAATGGCAAAAACACAGAACTCCAATCCTGCATCTTTTGATTCCAAAAAAAGGCTCTACAAAATGATTTTGTTGAAATTGCAATGAGGTAACAGACCAATATCCTGAAAATATTAATAGCACAGCATGTCATTAAAACATTTTAAATTTAAATTTAAAAATAGGTATGAGAGGGGTGATTCTAGATGGAGGAAAAAATAGAACTAAAGTGTACAGAGAAAAAAATATGGATGACTTATCAGAGCTTATTAGACTCAAAAATGTAGTAAGTTAAAATGAAGCTGAAAAACACAGAAATATAACATTTGTAGAGCTACTTGTCTAAAACTCCATTGTGTGCATAATTCAGTATATTACATCTCCTGTGATGGCCTTTGCTATCAACTCATTTTAATTAACATAAATAAGTAAAAAGTATGGATATATTAATAAAATAGCATGAGGTGGTGATTGTTCCTTAAGGGTAAATTGTTTGGTTTCTAAGGAAGCTGCTAGGCTCACACAATCTCTGGCCATTCTTCCAATTCTAGAGCAACTTCAATACCACACATTAGGGAATAGCTTTGACACCCCTCCCAGATCTCAATCTTACAAATTTAAAACAAACAACACGCCCAAAGGACTCAGAAGATCCACAGAATGCTTATAAATTCTAAATTCTTTACACACAGGGAATTTAGTAAAGCTTTGTTATCATCTCACAACAAATGAACTCAAAGCACTTCCTCAAAAAAAATGAGGAAATCAATTTTCCCACATTACATGGAGAAATCCAAATGAAACAGATCATAGAGCAAGTCAGGAGCAAATGCTCTGATTTCTACCTTTTTCAACATTTCAACTTATATCCACCGAGTATCTTCTGTATGTCTGGAACATTATGCTAGACACCATAAGAGGATACAAAATGGCTTAGATCTAATGCCTGTCCCTCTAGAGACTCATGCACACTCAACAAACCAAAATACAAGGCAGCCTAAATGTGCTGTACCTGAGGCACCAATAAAGACCTATGGACACACAGCAGACCAAGAGATTAGCCCCACCTCAGTTGAGATTTATTCCAACTTCAGTGGATCCATAAAAGAAGTAAAAACTTGGGCCTTAGAGGATTTGGCAGAATTCTTCCCTGCAGACTAAGAGGCCAATTCAGATAGAGAATGAGCAGTCAGAAGTATGCACAGTGATCTATATTTGTACGAGGAATGTTGGAGAGCATAAAAGGTAATGAATGGGCCGGACACAGTGGCTCATGCCTGCAATCCCAGCACTTTGGGAGGCCGAGGCGGGTGGATTATGAGGTCAAGAGATGGAAACCATCCTGGCCAACACTGTGAAACCCCATCTCTACTAAAAATACAAAAAGTAGCTGGGCATGGTGGTGCACACCTGTAGTCCCAGCTACTTGGAAGGTTGAGGCAGGAGAATCGCTTGAACTTGTGAGGCAGAGGCTGCAGTGAGCTGAGATCACACCACTGCACTCCTGGCTGGTGACAGAGTAAGACTCCATCTCAAAAAAAAAAAAAAAAAAAAAGGAATGAATGTACATGAGTAAGGTAGAATCATTTTAAGGGGGGTGCTGGGCTGGGCTGGAGTGGAGACTTTATTACAGAGACAGTAAATAACTAACAAAGGTTTTTCAGTAGAAAGTGACACACTCAGATATATATTTTGGGAAAGGAAATTAGAGAGTATCTGGGGGAATAAAGGGAGGGGTTGTGGGTAGAGAAAGGAACTAGAGGGGAATAGGGAAATTACTTAGAAGTATGGCTAGGTTGCAAGTTAGCAGTCTGCATTCTGTTTTCTAGTACAACATGATACATTGTCCACATGCCAATGTATCCATGAGCAAAAGCAATTACTATTTCTCATTGAAGAATGCATATCTGAATGTGAGAATTATGGCCTTATAGGGATGACCTTGAACATGCTCTAACTGAAAAAATTATTACTAACTCCTGACCATTGTGTTATTATACAACCTAAATAATGGTGATAAGACATAAGTACTAGTGAGAAGGAAGGTTCTAGTTTCAACAACAGTCTCAAGAAAACTGCAAGCTTCTTAAAACAAACCATTGCTCTATGCCATGCCAGTTTCTCCCAACAAATCATTACATGCTTGTCCTCATGCAAAAACCCTGCCTTCCTTTCACATCACACTATTTCTCATCAACAACCCTCTCTACCTTGCTGTCAACAGCTGACTGACCAGTCACCCTCTTCACTGTGGTTTTTGGCATGTGACCAATTAATGCCTTCATAATATCTTAAATATCCAAGTGTCCATCCCATAAGATAGCTTCAAAGTTATTTGACCTGTTCTTTCCCAACTACCTACACCAACATTGCACAATAGCAACCACTGCATGACCACACCTTAGACCTTAACTCTGAAAACTTTTAGATTGCACTGCAATATAAGAATTCCTGACCAAATCAACAACCTCTGACTGCAGATTTTTATCCTTCAGCTTTCTCATTCCTTTGCCCACAATCTTTGTTCTTCAATGTTAGCCACAAGGAAGTACTTTACATGCTCCTAGACTAGTCTCGTTCAGTTTGTACCAGTCTTCATACCAGTTTTCATCTTCACTGCTCCTAATTTCTTGCTGCACTGCTATCCTATTCTACTTCAGAAAGAAGAAAGGCTATCAGTCAAGATTCACATCAATTTCCCCAGATCATCACTACCAACTTACCCAGTCTTACTAGTTTTCTCTGAATCCTTCAGAGGAAGGAGGCCTTGTCTCCTGTTGAATGCTATATACTCTTATTTTTTTATCAAATTCCCTCACATCTCCTCATGTACTTTCTCCATCAACCTCTGTTGAATGGAATGAAGGCTTTTTATACTTCTTCTTTCAGCTTGCCTGTCACATTTATCATTCTTGATTATAACTTTCTTAAAATGTCTTAGCTGGATTTCTAAGATATCATTCTCTTTTGGTTCTCCTCCTATCTGTCTGTCATATGGTCTTTTATTTTCATTTGCTAGGCCCTTTTAGTAAATTCTTTCCTTCAAACATTAGTGTTTGAGAGTCTCATCCTCTTTTTATTATCTGCACAATCTCATACAAATCCCATGACATCGACTACCACCCAAGAGTTAACTGGCTCCCAAATATTTCACTCCAATCTCAATTTCTCCCTCAACTCTTAACCCTACTAATTATTATGTACTAATTATGTGCTAATCTGTTCCACCTAGACTTTCTTGGTTAAGCTTAAAATTCCTCCCCCTAAGACAATATGCTAAAAAACAACAACAACAAAAACAAACTAGATTTGCCACTGTTCTCTTCAAATCTTCTATTCTGTCTGTATTCTCTATATTGGCAATAGCATCATTATCCACCTAATCACCCAAAGTCATTACCTACCCATCCTTGAGTCTAAACTTTTTTCCAGCCTAGCAAAGCAGTTAAGAACACAGTCAGTTAATTACCTGAGTTCAAATCCTTTCCCTACCACTCTCCTGCTCTAAGGCCGTGGGCAAATTACTTAACCTTCTGTATCCCAATTTCCTCATCGGGGAGAAAATAATACCACACAATCTGCAGGGGGAGGTGGGTATTAAATGATTAACACTTGTAAAGTTCTTAGAGCAGTGACTGGCATAAAGTGTTGAAAAACTGTTTGCAGGTAGTATTGTTATTGTCATAGCCAATCAATCACCATGTAATATATATTTTATTTTCTATAAGATCAGCTCTTCTTCTCCATATCCCTAATTCTACTTTTGTTTATATATTCATCAACTCTGAAAGATTACTATTCCATAGTTCATCAAAATTAAAATGTGTATCTTCCACATTTTACCATCTCTGACCTGGGAGTTCTTACACTTGATGACATATCATGGTTTCATAGGCAGGAGGCAGCATTTTTATTTCTTAGGATGACATGCATCTAGTAATAACAGCAATGATGCACCTGACAAGGTGTCTTAGGTTTAATGAAATATAGTAAGGGCCTCTTACCTATTTTAGCCTCCATTCTGACCCACCAACCCCAATTGAAGACCCCAAATCTTCATGCCAGAAGGCTATCTAGGACTGGGGAAGAACTCATAGACTAGCTACATCATTTTACAGATGTCAGTTGTTTCAATATCATTTCATCTTGCATCATAAGCATTTTCAAAATAGTAGTTGCATTTCAAAGACTTTTGAAAAACATTATAATAATTAACCTTTGAAGATTTATCCATTCATTCATTCACCTATTCAATAGATATTTACAATGTTCCAAAAAACTGTTGTAGCCACTGGGAATATAGCTAGAAGCAAAACAGACTAAAATCCCTATCCTCAGAGAGTCTTCATTTCAATAAAGGGAGATTAAAAAATAAATAATATGGAATCTATATCATATGATAAGTGTTATGGGAAAAAAATAAAAAGATGGGAAGAGGAACAGATTTATCACACTCCTGACAATCATGTTATAAAACGATTGCCCTGCATGGTGATAATGCTAATAACATTAGACCTTAGAAACATTTCTTCAAATCCAAGATCCCAATTAGGCATTTACCCAGGCAACTTTGATTTGGAAAAGAAGGAGTAAATCTCAAAAGCCTTGGGTTTACACAGCCCATAAGCTGATCCACTTTAGTTACCACACTAATAAGGACTGTGGTTATAGCTCCTCTGGCCTTGACGAGTCTTTGCCTTTTATATTTTAGGAGGTCATAAATGTTGAATGAGGGCACGTTTCAGGTCCACGACTTACTACCACCTCTGCCTTTCCTGAACTCCCCAAACAGCTAAACGTTCTTTATAAAGGGCTTCAATGCTCTGAAATAGGTGCTCCCAGGTGGCTGTTATAACTCATTTCAACCTGGCCGAACAGGCATGAATAAGCCTCTTTATTGTTGCTTTTATCTTCCCTTCAGTGCTTGGGAATACAGAATGATCTCTAAAAGTTTACGCTTTATTAACTTCATGAGCCACCAGAAAAATTCCTTCAGTATCATCAGGATAATTCAGCAGAGGTACCTTCAGTGTCCTGATATGATTCTCAGCCTCACTCTTTTCTTTCTTAAAGTGCTTCATAAGCTCCTGGATATTCTGTTCATGTTTTGTTTTCACACTCTGCAATGATGATGTGAGATCTTTCAGCTCCCTCTGGTGCACATCCCGTTCCAGCTTTAACTGTGTGATGATTGTAGCTGTTTCTTCATCCCTGGATTTTGCCTGTGCGGTGAGGTCAGAAAGGTCCTTAAGCACTGCTTTCTTGGCTCTCTCTTCCTCGGCCAATTTATTAGCAAGATCTGCTCGGATGGCACTCAGGTCCTTGATGGACTCTTGCATCTCAAGAAGTTTAGCTTTGTCCTGGGCCTGGCTCTTCTTGAGCTCTGCAATTTCTTCCTCCAAGTGAGCTTTCTCAACTTTCATTTGGCTTTGGATCTTACTCTGCTTTTTCAACTCGCTTTCCAGTCTATGGATGGTATCCAGGGAATTCTTGACTTCCAATTCAAGGTCAGCTTGATGAGACTTAATATCACGTAGTTTCTCCTCCTTGGAGTGAAGCTCCTCCTCCTGAAGGGCACGCTTTGTTAGGACATCATTCAATTCCTTTCGAAGATTCTCTATTTGTTGTAATGCTGCATACATCTGGGTTTTCAATTCATCCTTTTCTTTTAAAATCTATCAGGTTAAGAACATGAAGCAAAAGAAAAAATAAAAGTTACTGTAAAATTCACCACAGACTGTGCCAGTCAGCAAAATAAAGTTTAACCCACAAGGAGAAACAAAATTCATCAAATAATTTTTGTATTTTTTCCATTTTGTAATAAAAATACTTTTAGGCTAGAAAGCGGAGGGGCAGGGGGCAATATATAATTGTCCTGAAATAGCAACACACTGAAATATGTATTTCAAATTTTCATCACCAAAACTTTTTTCAATCCATGGTTACAAATATTTATTTAAATGTTAGATAGAATTGAGCAAGCAAATGGGGAAAGCAAAGACTCCCATTAAAAAGAAAACTTACTAGAGGTTGAAATAATACAGTATTACCTAAAATAATAATGATGTCCATTCCAATGATACACTTTGAAAAAGGAGAAATCCCAAAACAGAGATGGAAAATAATATAGGGGAGCATGCAGATACAATATAAGAAAGTTTACGGTACATTCAGCCATTATCTTCAAAATATCAATGGTGACAAAAAGTCACCAATATGCAACTGGGAGCCTTGAAGCCCACAAAGATAGAAATGCGATTAAGTCAGGGAAGGTGGGGAAAGGGCTCAAGGGAAAAGTCAAGGGCCTAGAAGTCCATCATTCTATGCCAGCCTCTCTACGATTTACATTGAGGGACAGAGGCCAAGGGTTAACTCTTCTGGCCTCTAATTATCACCACCTAATCATTGCAAATAAAATAGTGGGCAGCCAAGGGAGCCAAGATTGTTTTCTATGCCACACTGGCACCAAAGATAATCTCCGTGTCTACTTACTGATGCCCACACCATGTCTTGAAACAGGTGGGGAAAAAAAGGAACCAATTAAGACTCATTTCAGAATTACAAATAACGAGTTAAAATGCAAATATTTGCAAGACATTTCTACACTTCACATTCTATACTTCAGTGTAAAACAATTTATGATAAAAATTTAATGAGTCAATCACTCCAAAAAAAAGTTTCCCCAATCCCTCTCAGTTTTAACTGAAAGAAAGAAAGAGCACAAAGATAACATGAGAACTAATAAAAGGAGGTGAATAAGCAGTTGAGCTCTGACCAGAAAGAAGCGAATTTGATTCTCAGTTCAATCATGGGCAATTCTATGGCCTCAGAGAAATCATTTCTCTTACTAGAGAAAAGAATAATAGCTATTTCATAAGACTGTGATGAAGATTAGTGAGAAAGGGGAAACAAAAAGTTGGAGTAGAATTTAAGTTCAAGGAGGTACTAGGGTCTCGGGGAGGTGTTTATGCAAGGTAGTGATCAAAACTGTAAAAAGAGCCAGGCCCAGTGGCATACACCTATAATCCCAGCTACTTGGAAGGCTGAGGTGGGAAGACAGCTACGGCTCAGGAGTTCAAAACCAGCCTGGGCAACATAGCAAGACCCCGTCTCTACTGTGAAAAGACGGGATAACTGAAGAGGAGGAACTCTGGAACACAGATGAAGGAGTTCAATTTCAAAAGAATGTAAGGTAGGAGAAATATAGATGAGCCTAAGGGTAGATGTATTGTTTTTCTACTGTTTCATAACAATTTCGAACGGACTTAGTAGCTTAAAACAATGCACATTTTTTATCTCACTGCTTCCAATAGGTCAAATGGCCAAGCAAGGTATTCAGTTTAAGGCCTCCTAAGACTAAAATCAAGGTATCAGCTGGCCAGGGCTCTTGTCTGGAGACTCTGAGGAGAATCCATGTCCAAGTTTATTCAGGTTTCTGATACAACTAGTTTCCATACAGTTGTAGGACTTTGGGTACCCATTTCCTTGCTAGCTTTTGGCCAGCGATTATTCTGAACTTCTAGAAGCCAACTTTGTTCCTTGGCTTATGGACTCTGCAATCTTCAAAGCTTGAACAGCTTGATGAATCCTTCCCAAGCTTCAATTCTCTCCGACGTCCCCTTCTCCCAATAGCCAGAAAGAAAACTTCTATTGAGGGCTCATGTGATTAGATTAGGCCCATCCAGATAATGTGATCACAGGAGTAATGTCTTATCATATTTATGGATTCCAGAAATTAGGGTGACTTCTTTGGGGAGGGTCATTCTACTTACCAAACTAGAGAGCACAAAAACTGATAGAATCAAGTTTGGGCTGTAAAGATGGCGTGGGAGGGACTGAGCAAGGGTAGGGGTCTTCAGTATAGTGATATCCGTTTGAAGCAGATAACTTAGGCCCCTTGGCATGAGTTGAGAGACTTATAGGCAGTGCTGAGGATTAAAATCATATTTTCATAATGAAGTCATACCATATAAAGTGTCTTTAATTATGAAATATTATATCGTCCTGAAATTGGATTAAAAAGCAAAGATATTTCTTTTTCTCACGTAACAGGAAGTCCAGAGATAGGGTCGTTCAAGAAGAATCCCTCAAAGCTCAGGATCTGCTACTCTATAACTCTCCATCTTTTGCTGTCTTTGCAGTGTTCCAAGCATCACATCAATTCCTGACAAAGGGGACAGCCACAGGGCAGACCGTCACTGACCTTGTGGATCAAGTTTAGAATATCTTTGGCAATACAGATACTAAAAACTAAGCTCTGTCGATTTGCTTCTGGTTAATTGCTTGCCTAGTAGCCACAGCTTAAGATTTTGTCTAGATGTTTCTTTGAGTCTGAAAATGTCTTATGTCTTTACTACCATCTCAATACCCTGGACATACCCAGGGCCCTCAATTGAGTAGCCTTTATCTTGAGGAAGATCAGAACAGTGGAACTGGGTCCCCTTTGTCTGGCCAGGAATGCTTAAGTACTTGAAAGGATCCTGAGAAAAAGGCTTGATTTTTAACTCTTTTTTTTTCTTGCTGTTTCCTGCTTCCCTCTTATGCTTGCACCAATTTCAGTTTGGATAAATAATTTGGCTTTTCCAAGCCTAAAGGATTCCAAATTATCAGACTCATAGTCAATATGGATTATAGATTGCAGACTTCAGGCTCCTCATCTTAAAAAAGGAAACAAACAAACAAACAAACGAACAAAACTCTGCTTTTAGACAAGTTTCAACCTAAACTTGTCTTTCTCTTGTAATACCTTACTGAAGGCTGAAATATGCACACAACATACTCCAACATCCTAAAGTTTTCCTACCAGTCACTTAATACTATCCTCTTATTCACAGCATCAATGCCCCTAAATATGATTTCTCTTTAAACCAGTTGCTTCCAACCACATAGCAAAGTTTACCAACTTTCCCTTTAGAACAATATGATCCTCTCCTGCCCCTTACCCTACTTCTCCTCTCAGCCAATCCTACAATTTAGGTTATTTTGCTTATAGCTCCTTATTGCTAGAACTCAAAGTTTACATAAACGTGAATTTCTCCTGCTGAGGGTAAGAGAAAATCCCAATCCGAACTGGTTTAAACCACAAGAAAATCATTCCAGGCAAAACTGCTCCAGAGACAGTATGTCAAAGCTCTGGCTCCACCTCTCTGCAATTCTGTACCTAGTGATGGTCTTGCATTAATTATTGAATGGAATGGATAGGGGGAGGGAGGAGGTAACCATGAATACTATAGAAGTCAACTGCTATTTCTATGGAAGTTTTGCTGTTACTGTTTAGGAGAAGGAATGGAAAAAGTGGAAAGTCGGGTTGACTCCAGATTAGAAATCCGTAAAATGTATGAGGGAGAAAGAAGAAAGAAATTGAAGATGTGATGAGGACGACATCAAAGTAGCTTTCGACGAAGTCCAATGTGACAGGAAGAAAACTGAATCCAGAAACTGGCTTGTAAACCAGAGGAATACAGAAAGATCAAAATTGGGTATTAATAGTTTAAAAAGCTAGGTGGGAGGGAAGAGAAGAATTCTGAAAGATCAGACACTGAGCTGTGGAATGGAAGGCTTGAACATGGAACAATTACAGATGAAGATAAAATTTAAACACAGAAATTCGACACTGAAGTAGAATTATTTCAGTGAAGGTCACTATAAAATAAGACATTCGTGAATTAGAAGGATACAGACTTCAGTAGGTTGAGGACTTGAACTCTGAAGTTACTAAGGATGATGGCAAGAATTACATGACATAAAACAGGCTGATGCAAAGCCAAGCTAAAATCCTTGAGAAATGTAGGGGCATAAATGAAAAATAGCCAGCAGTCAAGAGCAAAAACGGGAAAAGAATGTTCTAACCAGGCAGTCCAAGCTTCCAAAGAAGGGGCAAAAGAAAAGATTATTGAAAAAAGGCCTTAAAATAGTTGTGTGAAGCCAAAAGAATAATACTATCTAAAACCATGGCGATTATAGAAACAGAAGCCAAGTCCTCAAAGACCTGAACACAAAGTATTATATATACAGTTTTGTTTTGTTTTTTGTTTTTTTTTTTAATTAACTAAAAGGTAGATGAGGGGATTACTCAATGTTTTTGTTTTGTTTTGTTTACCTGCATGTGAGAGAAAATGCAGGCAGATGGCTGGATTATACTAATACATACTCTAGCATTTCTTGAACTGTATGTGATAGGACTGTATATGCATTCAAAAAATCGTACACTTTGGCACTGATCCTTCTTACTTTCAACCATTCAAAAATTCAGATTTTACAAGATAGCAAATATTACATATAACTCTTTTTTTTTTTTGCCAGCAGGAGGGAAATATGCAGAAGGAATATATGGTAATTTAAGCTTCTTGAAGTCAAATACTATCAAGCAAAAAGCTCAATACATAAGCAAGCCAATTATTCTGCCAATTCAGCAGGGGGGAAAAAAAAAACCTGGAAAGTATTCCCATTATCCATATTAAAAAAGAATATGAAAAAAATTGGAAACATTCAGAAAAGCATATACTATGATCAGAGTCCAATCTTTTCCTTTATCGTTTTCAAAGCACCCATACAAACCAATGATTTCAAACAGTACCTTAAAAGAAAAAGAGAAGCAAAAATACCACAACTTACAGCTAGATTATTTGTATCTATTAAGTTTTCGGTCTCCTAATATGTGTTACCTACATATCCCTGAAGTACACCACAATTCCCTGATGTAAATATCCATTTCATTGTCTTTGAGGAAAGTATACAATTTGATCTGTCTGGGTTTTTTTTTTTTTCTGCAGTGATATGCGATTTGATATTACACATCATTCAGTCATGAAGTAGTTTTGTAATATGATATCTTATAATCTTACTAAGATTCCAGAAATGTAAAAAGCAGGAAAAAAGAAATAAATCAGAGAAGTTTTTAAGAGAAAAAAAGCCTTTTGTCATTTAGTATATTTTTTAAGTAACAAATCTTAAAGCAGAAAATAAATTATGCTAGAAAAAGAGAACTGGCGGTAGACACAAAACCATACTGCAAATATGAGGAGAGCATCATATGAGCATATAAAATGACTCAGTAAGGGTACTTATTAAGTAATTTATTCTTTAAGCCACCATATGTTATATTTGTAAATCAGTATAATTTTTATTTTAATACACCCTTCCAAAATACCTTGGAGTCAGTTTTTGAAAATAATTAGCCCTAAAAATCAAAAAGAAAGTAGCCATATTACAAATGTGTTAAGGTGGCTTTGTGATTTTATTAAGAATTAAATATCCCTTTGAAATAATATTCAGTAATATATTTTTAAAAAATTTTTCCAAAATTATTTACCACGTATTTCCACATCACAGATTTACTGAGCACATTTCTTACTCTTTTTCCTTGAAAAACCATTGCTCTAACTGCAACATGCTGCATTAATTTTTAAGGCTTTGAAAGGAGAAATTACAATGCCTGCTGTGATAATTGTGTTACGACCTTAACTGTGGCAATCACTTTAAAACTGCTTCTTTGCTTATCATTAGTAATGCTAAGTGATAAAAATAATTGGAAGTATTCTGGGAAATGATTGTTAAACAATTTTTAATATTCTGAAAACTCAACGTAGAAAAGTCTCAGCACCATGGACTGGAATACTGTATGATGACATGGACTCTTCTAAATCTCTTCTAATTAAGTCAAATCTCCAGATGAGATTTTCAATCAGTCAATTCCCTCAACCACTCCTCTTGCTAGCTACCTACCTACCTTACAGTCAGGCTCACTGAGCCAGTTGCCAGATCAGGCTGACAACAGAATAATCAAGATAGAGCAATTTCCTGGGATCAGATCAGTTCAGGCACAAGTCTGAAAGCTTTAGAACTGCTTTACTTCAGGGCAACCAGCCACCCAGTATGTGTCAGATGGGTTAAAATGAAAAGCAATCTGCAGTGAGTGCAAAATGATCATTTTTTTCATCTTCTATATGTCCGAGAAATTCATATGTAAAAGATAAAGTATTTTTTCCACGACAGCTCATCTGAAATAAGCATCTGTCACTCTTAAATGCTGAAAATTGATTTTATAAATATAATGCCCTACATTTTGTTTTCTTTTCAAAGAAAGTCAACTTATCCAAACGATTATTCTTTTGGAATGTACAGAGTTCTTGACAAGTGACAAATGACAAAGCACAAATGATAAACCAAGAATAAACATGGATAAAAATCAATCATGACTTTCCTGCTTATTATCTTATAAACATCTGGGTTTAATTCAACCCAAAGATATATCAGATGAGAATCAACATAGGAGCATAAAATCCATTTAAAGTAACTGATTATACAAGAGAAAAGTTAATGTGAAATGCATACATAGATGAGTGAAATGCGTTTTGTTGCTATCAAAAGGGCATAAAAGCAAAGTCTTGAAGAGGGTTGTGATCCCATAACACTGCTCAGTTAGTGAGATCCTCAGTGTACGCATTCAAGTAAGCCCATTACAGTTACTGCCAGTAAATGGCCCTAGTAACTACTGCATTTTTTAAATGCTTCTTTCTAACCAATACCTAGTTGAAATATATAAATAAATGAGATTTTAAAATACATGCATTGGGAGAAAAGTTGTGTGAAAATAAGGAAGATTTAGTAATTTTCTTCCATTGGAATATTAGCAGATTAAAGAATAATTCAATTTAGGAAACTTACACCTAAACTGGGGCAAGGGGTACATCTATTGATGGGCCAACTCTGAAAAGCCACATAATATTAAACTATGAAAAGGCTTAAGTAAAAAATATTTAAAAATTAACTTTTATACTTTGAAACAGCCAACCATAAGGATTCTTCTATCAAGAGCATATTGATCATATGCACAGTATGGCACTCAAGTGTTTTTTCAAAGGACAGATGAATGAATGGATGGGTCACATTGAAAACCATTCCTTAGGAATGTGGCTTTTATACCTGATTATTCTTGCCTGTCAGTTCATCAACTGTTTCAGATTGTTTCTCCAACACTCGCTCTAACTTCTTATGTTTAAGCTTCCACTGCCTAATGGATTCTTGAGCTTTCAGTTTCAGGTCTTCCCTCCTCTTCTCCGCCTCCTCTTTCAGGGCCTCTGACTGCTGGAGCTCACTGAGGTACTGTTCAGCCTGCTTGGTTGCATCCTCCGCATGGCGAGTCAGCTCTGAGATCTGAAGGTCAGCATGCTTACGTTCGGCCTCACATGTGTCAAAGTGAGTCTGGATCTCCTTAAGTCGATCCAACATCTGGAGTTGCTGTTTTTCCCCATTCTCCAGTTCGCGAGTTAAATTCTAGGAATAAAGCATGTGAAACATTAGGAACAAATGCTTGTCAAAATTAGATGTGTAGCATATCATCAAACAAGAATCTCTAATGTCACTGAAATGGAAATCATCTGTATTAAAATTCATTAGCAATCAATTTAGAAAATATGAGTCATTTTCTTTGTATTTTATAACCACATTAGTTGGGAACAATTTTTTATATAAATATTCCCTCTTTTTTGGACTATTTTATTGTCCAAAAAAGGAAAATACAGGTTTCCAATTGACTGTCACTAAAATAGAAGGCACTTTTGAAGAAAACAATGTGCATTATTTTAGTAACAACCTAGTGTTCTGTCCAACTGAAGAAATAGTAATGTTTTAAAATTTGTCAGGTTATCAGAGAACTATTAGTAGCAATCATATATAACATTTTGCTTTCTGGCAGCAAAACAAAATTATAATAAAAAAACAAAAATAAGTAACAATAAAGTGACAGAAATATCAGCATAGATAACACTATATTAGGTTCCCAATAAAGTGCTTATACATTGATTATTTCCAGATAAACCAACATAATATTATATGTTGAAGCACTTACCCCAAGCTGATATGAATCACTACAGTACACGTTTATAAATACATTTAATTTAACTTTATTTTGAATATTTCTCTAATCAAGAAAAAAAACCTTAAGTCTAGCTTCCCTAAAGCCAGGATGGTGATTATATATTTGGAAATTACACTAAATCATCATGATTAATACATATTTTAAGAATAAGTAAATATCTATTTTAAGTTTAAAAATGAGAAGATATTGTTTTAAGTAAGTTTATACAAATAAAATAATCATTAACATTAAGCTGTTAAAGAATCATTAACATTAAGCCACTTTTGTAAAGCTTTGTAAGAAAGTGATAAATTCCGAAATAAAGCGCTTACAATGGGTCACATAAGCTGCCCCTCCTGAGCCTTACTTTCCAAATACTTAGTGGCAACAATGGTAACATAAAAATGTTATGTGTCCAAATAAGAATGGGTTCAAGGGGCTAGAATGAGGCTGTGAGTTGGATAAACAATAAATAACATCTCCACGGAACTAAGGCCCAGACAAATGAAACTAGAAACATTTACCAAGCTCCTTTGGCCCCAACAGCAGAGTTTCCAGGTCCAGATTCCATGATCTATGGCTCAAATAAGGTTAAATATAATCTCCCTCATGATTAAAATCACAGTTTGACATTACGGCAAACATTTTTTTAAATGCCTCAAAAACAAACTTCATTTTCTAGGCAACAGGTTTGCATTTGTCCAGTTTGCTAAATTCAAGGCAGCCTGGAAGACACTGCATCCACCCAAATGGGAAATTGAGAACTGTGTACTTGTGTGTGTAGAAAATTCTACAATAAGATCAGAAAAACCCCTGTAATTGTGGTTTACCTTTTGCTCTTATTCTAAAAGTGTTACCAATATGCTAGAAATCAACTTGATTAACAAGCAGCAATCAAGTGATTCCTCATCAAAAGAGAAATGGAACTTATTTTTCTTTTCAACAAATCCTTGGAAAGAAAGTGGTTACACTTCCTGTTCATCAGGCATATGGCTTATAGAAAATTAATAGGACACAGTCTTAATAACAGAGAAGCTAACTCTAATTAGGGAGGTATTTTCATCAACCACTAAATTATAGTAGATAGTCCTAGGTGCTAAAACATGATGGAGAGTTACCTAAAGGTGTCTATAGTCTACAGTGTGGCTGCAGACAGTCTCCCATAGGAGGTGATGTATAAGCTGAGATTTAAAAGAAAAGGAGCAATAATAATCAAATAACTATGACTGTGACTGAAATGCATTGAGTACTCACGTTATACCAAAGATTTAATGCTTTATATGAATTACCTCATTCAATCCCAACACAAATCTAAAATGAGACACCATTATCCCCATTTCAGTGAAAAGTAACCAATATTTGCTGCAGTTAATAATTTGTTCAAGATCACATACCTAATAAGTGAGGGCATAGGGATTTGGACCTGGATAGTCTGCTTCTAGAGCCCGTTATCAACCTATTACTAAACTTCCAGATTCTCAGATGACCCCAACTCCATGCCTCTTCAGTCACCCGCTGCCATGGTTTTATCTTGGTGTTTTTATCAGAACTGCCACCTTTAAAGCAAGAGGTTCCTCACTCCACCCTCTTCCCATAACTCTTGGATTTAATTACCAATCTAATCAGCTATTACACCCTCTTCCTTCTGTGTTATCTGTGCTTCATTGTCAAGGAGATGACCACTCCCTTGAGATTTCTTTTGCTAGTTTTAAATCCTGGCTTTCTAACCCAAACACTATTATTTTTTCACTTTAGCCAATCTCTTGCTTACACCTAGCCTCCCTCTTTAAACTGTTCATTCACTGAACATTACCAACAAAACCACCAACTCTAGGTGAACTTAAAAAATTCCTAATTCCTACGTTGGGTTGAGTCCTGTAAGAAACATCACACAGGACTATCAGTTGATGTGACCACACACTGAGAGTCAACTCATTGGCACCCAGAAAGTCTTCCACATGCCTCAATCCAGCTCACACAAGGGCCATTATTACAAAAAGTCTCATCTCTGACCCTCCCATTTTTACCCTTGGTTTTGGTATGTACTATAGTTCCTCCTTCAAAAGTAAAATTGAGGCAGGCAGTTAATGCAGGATACCCCAAATATATCCTACTTGTATTTTAAAATTTACCAATGGTCAATTTCTTCTCTTTTCCAGCCTCCAAGGAAAGGGGATTCTTCCTTAGACAAATAGCCTATCTCTGTGATTTTCCTACTTGACTATTCCACTTTACTTCTCTCATCTCAAAAACTAACAGTAAAGATTTTTAAAAATAAAAAAAAAGAAAAACACCAGCAACAAAAGCACTTTTCTCAATCCTACATTATCTTCTACCCAGTACCATGTACTCACCTACCTCTTAAGCCAAGCTCCTGGAAAGAGTAGTTCATACTTGATGCTCCCACAACCATATTTCAGTTCACTTGGTTCACTACGTCTGGTTTCCATCATACTATGAAAATAGCTCTCATCAAGATCCCCCAAGATCACCTACAGCCAAATACGAAAACTCTTTCAAAACCTTACTTTGGGAGGCCAAGGTGGGTGGATCACTTGAGCCTAGGAGTTCAAGACCAGCCTGGACAACATAGCAAAACCCCTGTCTCCTACTAAAAACACAAAAATTAGCTGGGTGTGGTGGTACATACCTGTAATCCCAGCTACTCAGGAGGCTGAGGCACAAGAACAGTTTGAACCCAGGAGGTGGAGTTTGCAGTGAGTTGAGCTTCCGCCACTGCACTCCAGCCAAGGCCACAGAGCAAGATTCAGTCAAAACAAAACAAAACAAACAAAAATTTCCTTCACTTAGTTTCCTTGTAGCATGTGACACTGTTAATAACCCCTTGCTCATTCTAACTCTCTGCTTCCTTAACTTTCACAATACCACTTTTCACTAGCTCTCTATCTTCCTCTTTTTCTTTCATAATCTCCTTTCCTGAGTCTCTTCTACCATTTAGCCTCTTAAATCTAAATAACTCTATAAAGTTCCAATATTATGAATCATCTCACCTACACAATATCCTTGGTAGATGAGCATTTAGGTACACAGATATTAGTGAGTATTAGTGAGTCCTACATTCAGAAGCCATACTAACTCCTCATCTCCAGACTTTCAAATATCTAATGGCTTCATATCGGGGGAACCCCAACCCCGATATTCAACATGGGTTCTTTTCTGTTTCCCTAAGTGTTGGCTGGTCTGAGAAATAAAGGGAAAGAGTACAAGAGAGAGAAATTTTAAAGCTGGGTGTCCGGAGGAGACATCACATGTTGGCAGGTTCCATAGTGCTCTCTGAGCCGTAAAACCAGCAAGTTTTTATTAGCAATTTTCAAAGGGGAGGGAGTGCACGAATAGGGTGTGGGTCACAGAGATCACATGCTTCACAAGGTAATAAAATATCACAAAGCAAATGGAGGCAGAGCAAGATCACAGAACCACAGGATGGGGTGAAATTAAAATTGCTAATGAAGTTTCAGGCACGCATTGTCATTAATAACATCTTATCAGGAGACAGGGTTTGAAAGCAGACAACTGGTCTGACCAAAATTTCTTAGGCGGGTATTTCCCCGTCCTAATAAGCCTGGGAGTGCTATAAGAGACCAGGACTTATTTAATCCCTTTCTCTTCGTCTTCAACCATAAAAGATAGCTGCCCCCAAAGTGGCCACTTCAGAAGCCTACCCTCAGGGGCGCATTCTCTTTCTCACGGATGTTCCTTGCTGAGAAAAAGAATTCAGCGATATTTCTCCTATTTGCTTTTGAAAGAAGAGAAATATGCCTCTGTTCCGCCCGTCTCACCGGCAGTCAGAGTTTAAGGTAACCTCCCTTGTTCCCCGAACATTGCTGTTATCCTGTTCTTTTTCCAAGGTGCCCAGATTTCATATTGTTCAAGCACACATGCTCTACAAACAATTTGTGCAGTTAACACAATCATCACAGGGTCCTGAGGCGACATATATCCTCCTCATGAAGATGACAGGATTCACAGATTAAAGTACAGACAGGCATAGGAAATCACGGGAGTATCGATTGGGGAAGTGATAAATGTTCATGAAATCTTCACAATTTTTGTTCTTCTGCCATGGTGTGAGTCCCTCCGTTTGGGGTCCCTGACTTCCTGCAACAGCTTCATAACTTTCTTCACTTAGAAATCTCACAGGTGTCTTACATTTAGTAAGTCAAGAAGTAAACTTATCTGACGACCAACTCCTAACAAAAAGGCAGTCCTTCTAAAATGGCAGGAAAGTAGCTCTCTGATGAGGGAGGATGGAAATGAGTTAAATTGTGTATTTTAATAGTGAGAAGATCTGAAAAAATCACTGTAGGAAAAGAGGAAATGAACAACTGATAGATGTTTAAAAGATGACAAACAGAAATAAGGTTCTAGTTAGATAGTCTCAAATTGATAATGGGCC